ACAAGTATTGAACGCCGAATTCTTCAAGGAATAAATTGCATTGCATTGAAATGAAACTTGAAGTGCTGAGAAGAAAGCGTAGCTGAATACTTTGTATTCGGTCTTTCTTATATAGAATTTCGACCATTCTGATTGTAGTTAATATCGTCAGATTCTCTCTATTGTCCCGTGAGCGGAGTCGGAGTACCGAGAATCAACGATCGAACGACGAAACCGATCGGTTCAGAAATGTAGTTTCCATGTCTCTGCGAAGAAGCTGAGCAATTACAGCTTCCACGCGATCATATCGGAATCGATCGAGGAATTGCGAGCTGCGCCTCGATGGAAAGCATTCCGTAAGATTTTCGCGAAGCTACGATCGGAGTTCTAGAAGGGAAACAAATAATTTTTCCGATTATTGCCGAATAAAAGGGAAATCGTGGCGGATACGGCGGTTCGGGTTCAAAGTTTTGAAACAAATAACACGAAGTTCGCGAACGATTTAGAGACTGTTTGGGAATTTATGAAGCTCGTAAGATACTGATGAATTTCATGAAGGAGCGGGAGCGTTTCTAGTCGGCGGTACTGAAGTTCCCTGCAAAGCATACTCAATCTCCAATTCATTTCGGTGTAAGTTCATCCAGCTGGCACAGTTTCAGATCTGCAGCTCAAATACGGTCCGGTTTCTCTTGCTCTATATTTTCTGGATGTAGCGACACGATATTATGATGTAAGCGTTGACATGGTTTCGATTTTATTTAACAATTCTTGTTCTTGACAATCGCAGACGCTATGTTTGAAAGAATATTAAATTTCTCTTTGGATATTTTGTTAATACAACAACAGCCAAATTTTAAATAGAGTTTGTCGAAATTGTAACATCTATTGCAAGTGGAGCGGAAAATTGGCGTTCAATCGGTTCCAGACATTCGAACGTGTAATCCAATTTGGAAATTTAGAACTATTTTAAATCCGCAGTTCTCGTGCAAGTAGGAATAGTTTCATCAGATTCGCATCGGTACGCCCATTGCGCAATAATGCGGGAACCGCGAGAGAAACTTTTATCAGGGTATGCTTCCCAAATATGTTATTTCACTCAAATATGCACAACAGCCCGAAAATGTACGAATCGTTAGGATCAATCGGGACTGCGTAATTGTTTCAGAAAGTGGAATTCGCTGCGTTTCATTAGTAACAAATAGTCGGACTATGTAATACAGTGATTAATCGATTAAAAAATTCCGCGGTTGGTAGTGAGGTTTATACAGCAGTGAAATCTGAAACAAGGGAATATTAAAATCAAAAGGATAATTTAAAAAACCGAAATGTTTCCATAAAAATTTTTCAATTAATGTCTGCATCAAACTTTCATTTGCCACATAAACCATAACATGTTTGAATTGAAAAAATTGAAATTTTTCTTCCGAATCCTTTTGACAAACGTGAATTCTGTTTCGTTACTAAAAAAAAAAGATCCCACTTAATCATGGCCATCCAAATTACTCCACCTCTCTCATTGCCAAAGAGAAATCGATTTTACACGAACTCGCGAATAGATAATCCAAATTAAATCCGCCAGGCGTCCACGAAATTCTGCCCCCGAATAAATTCAATTGCACCGGCGCGGCGCTATTCACCGACCAAGAAACCGTAACGATTTTTCTTATTTCAACATTTCGTTCCATCCGTTCCGCCGCGTCGTATCGAACTATATCGCAATCATATCCTTTCCCCGATCGCCAGACCCGGCCCCGAGCCGCCGTTCGAACATTTATTTCGCCCCGGCCATTATTTCGAGATTGTTAAGGGCCGTTACTTCGAAATTGCTTCCGAAGAAACGTAACCGTTGCATTATTCAGGCCGGCCTCGCGCGAGCGGAGGCGTTTCGCTCGGTGCCACGGGCCGAGGGAACAGCCCTCGTTTCGGCACCGTTGCGCATTTGTCACAAAAGCAACGCCCCAAACCGTCCACGGAAATTTTCGTGGATAACACCGTGCCTGGGGGTTAATTTCCTTGGACAATCGACGAGAAAGCGACTGGTGGTCTCAGGTCGCATGGATTTCAGGCGACAGGGATACATCGGGATCGATGATACAGGTTTTACCGACACTGCTTTAATCGTTTAGAATTTAACAAACGATAACTTACCACTAAACTGCGGACTTTTATGCATTTGTGGGATAGGAAGTTCAGTATTTTACGAAGTGCGTACGATTTGAAAAAATATGTAAAATATTCAAAGTGTAGAGCTTTTTATAATATTTGTGGGATAGAACTACTTTAGGGGTAGAAAATTTGAATCTGCGTAAAAATCCGTGGTTTACTTGTCACTTTAATATTGATTGCTGTGTGGTTAGGCGTACCTATGTCGTTACAAATTTCCTATCGATTGATTGATATTATTATCGGCTAATGTAGTTGTTGGCGAATTCTTGTCGATAGAAGCAGGGTCGGTGAAACCGGTATTGGTTACTTCAGTGTAACCCTAGCCAACCACATTTACTACTACCAGTATACTATCAAACTACTATACGTATCAGTATACTATTGACAGTACTACTATACTGCTCTTAAAGCCCGTACAAGGTCTCCAAAGGTTACACTGAAGTCACCGATGCAGGTTTCACCGGCGCTATTCCGATCGACAGGAATTTGACGGCAAGACAAATCGATAGCACATTTGTAATGACAAGTAACTATGCGATAAATTAATTTTAAAGTGACAAATTGTAGAGCATGTTGAATATTGGTGAATTTCCAACGATTAAATCCTTACGAAGACACTTTTTGTTGATTGCAAGTGCAAATGCGTTTACATTGAAGCTTAAGCATTGACGGTAGCAAAATAATTCAACTTCGAATTACGTGCACCAAATAACCCTAATTCGTATTAAACCAAACTAGAAATTTCCATCGCTCGTTTCCTCTCAAATCTCATTTACCATTCAACAATAAAAATCAACCCTTTCGACGCGAATGGTGCACATAGATACCAGAAACATTTTAGATTACCGGGAAACTAGGAAACGCCTTAACGATAAAGGAAAATTGTGCCACACGCGAATCTTTGCTTATAGCTGACAGCTTAAGTGCTAATTATTATTATTATTACCTCTTATCTTATTTCTCTTACTGAAAAGCTTCAATTTCACTTGAAGGTAGTTATTCTTGGCCCTCTCTTTGATTTACGGGAAAAAATACATATTCAGGGATAAAGTATTAAATCAACACAAACAAAACCTCTGTACATGATTTCACTGAATCCCATCCCTCAGCGATCACGCAGCACCGAGCACGTCAGGCGACCATCTATACCGACAGTATCAGGGGTGGGCAATAACGCGAGGGTAGAGCACTCGTAACGCGTTCGCGTCGCAATAAGTTCAACGATTGTGCCGACGCGACGCGTCGCGCCGCGTGTCGCACGAGGAAATTAAAACTTGTGCAATTCGGCGCGGCGGGATCCCTGGACAACTCCGGGCCCAGGTTTATAAGCCCGCGGGCTCGCTGTATCCGGGCTGCGAGATAAAACAAAGTCTGCGGTCTGGATAAAGTGCGAAAGCGTAGAGGAAAGAGTGCGATACGGGGCTGGACAGAAGAGGGACGGTACGCACGTGTCGTGTCGGTGCAAACGCGTGTATCGGAGCGTGTGCACGCGTGCAAGGAAACGAAAAGTAAAGAAAAAAGAAGGGAGAGGGAGAGAGAGAGAAAGAGAGCGAGAAAAAATGACGCGATCGCGTGTTGATAGAGAGACGGAGAAGTATGTAAATACGCGGGGCACACAGAGGAAAAGTGGTTTACTCGAGTCGGCAAATAATGGAAGTGGGAAGAGGAGGCCTAGTTAAGCCGCAGTGTAAGCATTCTCCAGGGTAATTTTAATTCCCGACCTGGCTTACCACCGGCGGCCGGCGCATTCATATTGCCTGCATTACACTCGACGAACCGGAGTTTTGATCAACCTTCGTCGTTGATAAACGGAAAATCTAACGCGCACCTCGCACCCGGTCCCCGGAGGATGCTTCATTACTGCGCCTGTTTACAAGACATCGGCTGGTGCACCCGCTATGCTCGATTTATCAATTTAACGATCTGATTTTTCAAGTTCGTGCTTTTCCACCGAGAGCCCCTTCGGTGGGTGCGCCTGGTTGCATTCACTGGGCGAAGGTGATCATTGATTCGCGACTCTTCATTAGGCGTCGCTCATACAAATATTTCTTTCTCGAATTCTTTGCCTCGCAAATTGTGAAAGTTGAACTGAGAAGTTCTAACGTACATTTTTTATTATTTTTCACTGATAAAGCTTGAACTCTGAATTTCGAAATTCTTATGAAAGATTATTGAACACCCTACATCCTTATTTTTCGATTATTATACAGGAGACCACGATAATTACAACCCCTGAAGAAACTACCCCCGTCGATACACTTCAGCCACTAAAAATAAAGAAAACGAAACATGTAAAATTCGACTCGCAAGGATCCGCCATCGACAGTCACTGCACGTCCCAATTTTTTCTGAAAAGACGTGTCCCGTGAATAGCTGCAGGTATCTGGTGCGTGAAGGAATCGCCGAGATGCGGGTGCAGAGAGAAAGGAGTCGTGGAACGCGGATAGGGACAATGAATCGCCGCAGTTGTCCCCGGGAACGAGGGGGTTGGGGGATGGCGGCCATTGGACGCGGGCGTTTTACACCATAAAAAAATGCCCGGACCGTCCGGGCTGCGCTTGGCTCCGTAATCCGTGAAAACCGCAAGACGATGTGGTAAAACGAGAAATTTTCGTTGTCCTGGCCGGCTGTACGTGGCCGTACTTACGTGGATATGAATTAGGATAGGGCAGAGTCCGCACAAAAGCTGGGGCGCTTGCGCTGCTAGCAGGCTCGCTAGGGGGTGGCTGACGACAGTGTAGCGGTCGTCGGAAGAGGGGTGGAAGCTCCGCTGAGCAAGGCCAACGCCGGCGCGGGAGGGGGTGTTGGAAGCTTCTGCGGGAAGCGGAGGTTCCGCGAGAGTCAGTGCAATCCGCGTCGCGACGCCCTTCGTTCTCACGGTCCGCACTTGCCGGCGGATCGGGGGCGCACGAGTGACGGGACGAAAACGGGACTCGGATATCCGTGTGTTGGTCGTTCACGTGCCAGGGACCTCGCGCGATATTTGCCTCTATTTCTTGAGTGCGTGACACGTGAAGGAAAAGAAAACACGTAACTAAACAGAAGCAGATGCATATTTCCGTCGGGACTGTTCACGTGCGACGACTACGTTCCAGTGTAACGAGGATCGAAACAATTCGATGACAATACTCGCGACAAGCTATTTCTCGTGTGTCGGCTTTTTTCCTCGAGGATGATAGAATCGGTGATAAATTGAACTTTGAATTGGTATG